CCCCAAAACCCCAAAACCCCTCAAAACATTATCTTGGTCGAATTTATGAAAGGACATAATAAGAAATAAATTTATGAATGAAGTGTACTTATGAATAAATATTTATATCTATAAACTTATCTGCTTTATTTAAAGAGTCTTGGTTCAATTGAAATAGGGAACATTTAATAACCAGTGGCCTTACTGCAAGTTGCTTGAAGTTATTGCTTAATTATCCTACACAACAATAGGTACTCATCAATCTCATTAGAAGGCAGTATTATTCTTCTTATCATATTAATTTGCAAGAATTGCCTCAAATTTCTACAACTCAATCTTAAGTTCCCTATATCTCTTAAACTCTGATGCTACTGGAGCAATGTCTTTTGTATATGCAATTTTTCTTTTATGGTTTGTTTCAAAGTCTTTTTGGAATTTGTCTAGCTTGGTCCTAAGTCCTTTTCTTTCATTTTTTAGTTCTACTGCCTTCCTCTCAGCGTCAAATATACTTCTAAGATTATACTTCTTCATCAGATACTGACTATCAGATTAGCTACCTCCAGTTGTGCTGCTCTGAGTATTCGTCACTAAGCTTGAAACTTGTGCATTCACTAATTTATCTTCCTCATATTTCTACTCCTCTGGATTAGCAACATTGTCAGACAGGTAGCCACTTGATAATTGGCCACTTGAAGCTATTGAACTTGCTCTTGTTTGAGGTTAACTCATACTCTAATGTTGTGGCTAAGGCTGTGAACCCATTTATATATAGCCATTTCTGGGGTTTTAACGGGCAGCACCCATTGACTAACTTCTTCCTTGGCCTCCTGCGCCTCCAATAGCTTAGGTTTTTGTAATTGCTTGTTTTAATCTTTTGTAGTACATATAAATGTTACGCATTGGCTCCTTTTCTGGTCTATTAGGAAGACGATTGAACTTATTCAGGAAACTCTAATCGTACTGCTTCAACTCATTTTTCACTTTTTTCTTCTCTAAATTTAGCTCTTCCAATGAATAAGTCATTAGATGCTTTCCATTGATCTTGGTTGAATCCAACCCTAATTTTGAGAGAGCATCTTATAGTTTTATCTTGGCATCTCCTTGAATCCATTCTTAAATATTAGAGTCAACAGAGTGGCGTCCTCCATTATCACTGCTATTAGTAAGGCTGCTGCCTGATCCTCCATACGATCCACTGAGACCACTTCCACTGTAGAAATCAAATTACTTTGGAATTTCACTCTTATCTTGTCCCATCTAAGAAGAGGTCTTCATATAGTTGGCATGCTTAGACAAATCTGTGAAGAGCTGGGCGACTGTGCCAGTCAATATTTCATTTAATATATCGAACTCCATTGCGAAAAAGTAAAATATCTCACAAATAAATTTATTTCCTTAAATTATTACACTTTAAGTCACAGATATTACACCTTAGGGGTTTTGGGGTTTTGGGGTTTTGGGG